TCATGTCCACGGTACGACTCTGGAAATAATTATGCATACAATGGACTCAGGACAAGGTGCCTTTTTATCAGTCTTCCTACCAAAATGACCAAGTTGCGAAAACAAGGAAAAGATGTATGTTTGGTTGTGTTTTCGCTTGGAGGGACGAACTTGTGATAGACTTTTCCGCTTCCTCTCCACATACTTGTCTCGCTCTACATGGCACCGACTCCCTCAAGGTCTCCCGGACTTCACGAAACAGTCTCCAGTTCTGCAATCGTCTCAACCAAGAAATCCTCTTCTCCGGCTGATCCGGGAACCGGCAAAATGCATGTTTTCCAGTTAAGTGAGATAACTTTAAATGGTTATTATCTTGTCCAACAAAGTCTAACACAAACACATGAAGATGAGTCTATAGCCGTGCCAGTCGGAATGAAGCCAGGTACAGCTCAAGAATTTACGGCATCCAACATGGAATGGCGACTCAAGAAAAAAAGCCCTTCAGGCCTAAACTGCAGACGTAGGCTTCGGTTTCTCAGGCCTCCCTTATTTCGCACAGCCTAGTAACCAGGTTGGCCTGCCAACTTGGAGGCCGGCCCGGCAACCAGACCCCCGTGTAGACCTCCCCCCATCACGGGCGCAGGAAGTGATTGGCCGGCGTGGGTACTCTGTGAACAGGAGGGCGAAGTGAATAGGCTATTGAGTGCCATAAGAGAAGGTAGCAAGGCCTCATTTATGGCTGGAGGAGTGTAGATAGTGGGTCTTCTCTAATCACCACTCGGGCATGATGACCCCTCAATCGGATAGGCCTAGCCTCGCCTTGTCCCCCGTAGGCATGCACACGAGCGACACACAGACAACTTGAACTGCCTTGTGCTTGTGAGTGCTACCTAAAACGAGGCCCAAGAAATTCTCACCTGCCGCGTGTATCTGTGCCTCTGCCGGAGCACGCAGACAGGACGCCAAATTCAACAGTTGAAGGTCTTGAATCAGCGTCCTCGAATGACACTAAAAAATTTATGGGTTCTCATCTCCTCCCTTCCATGTTTGTAGTACTTCTGAGCGCTGTGGCTTGGAGATAAGGCGTAATGAGAGGACTCTGTCAAGTGTGACTTCTCAAACTGTAGACTGAACAGCTCCTGCATTTACGACGGAAGCTCTCTCGTCCAGGCTAAGTAGAGCCTTGAGCATGATAGGCCAACAACGATTGTTATAGAAACTGCATTAACAAACCTGCTTGGCATGGCACTCCTTGGCCAGAATTCTTGTCCTTTGCGTGGGTAAGCTTCGAAATTGAGTGCTTAGTCAAGACTTCTTGCTTTTAGAGTAGCTTATTGTAGCCTTGGCGAGAGAGGAGGCGAAAAGTGGCGGTAAAGCACACATTCTGGCAAAACAACGAGCCAACCAGGAAAAGCGCAATTAAGCCACCGTATCCCGCCGCAGTCAACCCTGAAGAAGAACCTTTGGGGGCACCATGAGGACCGCTCACAGCATTAGTATTTGAATCACCGTAAACAACGTAAGCTGGCTCTCATTCTTACTCAGAAATATTCGATTATCTAGACACCTACTGACAAAGCATATAAGTAACATGGTCAATTGTTGTAGAAAATGCCTGTCTGCCTAATAATTGTGGTGTGAAAGTTGCATCAGACTGGTCACCCAACAGCCCTTCCACGAGATTGACTGAAGAACTGTTCCAATCCTTTGAGGAAGATGTGCTCGAGGTGGATACCGTGAGCCTCGAACCCTGCGACCCGATCCGGAGGAGAGATAAGATGGCAACCGCTGAGCAGCATCAAGCGACATCAGCGTTCCATGTTGGTTTCAGACAAATAGTGCAGCGGATGCGATTGTTGGGTATGACGCATTTTAGGTATGAAGCAGCAAAAAGTGTGCTCTCGTGTATTGTCACGGCCTCCGTCCGCTGCATCAGGTTTGTGTGATCTGTGCTCACAAGTCGGCCGAGTTTTATAATTGTTGAGCTTACTTCCATTTCGAGTAGAAGTGTTGGGTGCAGATATTCGAAGATCGGTTCCACCCGAAGACGAGGGAGGATTCCTCTTGACCGGCTGTCGTTTGGCTTTACTGGAAGATTCATGCTGACGCTGTTTCCGAGGCAATCTCCTTCGATTCCGGTGAACACGTGAGGCTTTCGTCCGTCATATGACGGACATCATCAGAGCGAGGTAACAACATCACAACAAAATTCAGGCTTGCACTTTCGTCCGTCATATGACGGACATCATCAGAGCGAGGTAACATCGTCACAACAAAATTCAGGCTTGAGAGTCAAGAAAAATTGGAAGATTCATGCTGACGCTGTTTCCGAGGCAATCTCCTTCGATTCCGGTGAACACGTGCTGAGCTTTCATCATATGACGGACATCATCAGAGCGAGGTAACATCGTCACAAAAAAATTCAAGCTAACGAGTCAAGAAAA